CTAATATTTGCACCTGTATAGTTATATTTTCATTGGAGAATACTTGTTTTTGGAAAACACCCATTTTCAACTTGACTATAAGCCAAGTTCCAAATAAATAAAAATGTAAGATTTTACTTGCAGAATCACTATTACCTGTTGATATAACATACCCCTCATCCTGAACATGCATGTGAAAAATCTTTTAAATTCTTTATATCTGACTTCAAATAATTAACCAGCAGTAACAAGCCATGTGCACATGTGAGTGTACTGCAACAGTATATGTGTTATATGTCCAAAATTAATCTTCTTCAGCTCCTTTACTGATGTCATGTTTTCAAATAATCCCAATGAAACCATACTAGCTAAAACAGTGATTGAAGTGTCAGAATGATGACATTTTTACAGAAAGGAATGGCATCTCATATCATGTGGCCATGATCCTAAGAGCTATTTCAGATACATCTATAATATAAACTTGGATACTTTGGGGAAGTTCTGACTCCCCACCCCCACCCTGGTTGACCAGACTTCTTTGGTCCTCATTCCAGGATTCTTTTTAACACTATCTCAGTTTCAAGGGACGTGGGTGGCACTGCGGATTAAACCGCGGAAGCCTCTGTGCTGCAAGGTCAGAAGACCAAGCAGTTGTAAGATTGAATCCATGCGATGGAGTGAGCTCCCATCACTTGTCCCAGCTCCTGCCAACCTAGCAGTTCGAAAGCATGTAAATGGCAGTAAATAAATAGGTACCACCACGGTGGGAAGGTAACGGTGTTCCAGGTCTAGTCGCACTGGCCGTGTGACCACGAAAACTGTCTATGGACAAACGCTGGCTTTGTGGCTTGGAGACGGGGATGAGCACTGAGCCCTAGAGTCGGACACGACTGGACTAAATGTCAAGGGGAACCTTTACCTTTACCTTTACCAGTTTCAAAAGTGATATGGCATGTAATATGAAAGGATACAAGATGCTGTTGGACAACCCAAAGTCCAAAGCTCCATTGAGTCGGAGAAACTAATTGCAATGCTGTGACTTCTGGTTTCACACATTTGAATATAAATCTCTCACATCCATTTTTAAAAATATTTTCTGGTTAAAGCAAGCCATAGGGAAAAGCAGATTGTATAAAATGGCAAAGCATACCATCTAGGAGCCTCTGTGGCAATACTGTTCACCAATGGGGTGGGCAATAATGTCATGCTAATTTGTGGGGGATTAGAGGTTCACGGTCAGGTTCCTGGTGGCCTGTGAACCGTCTATATACTTTGCCATCACTGATTCTCTTCTCATGACACAGGCAGGGTTTGCAATGTTAGGGAATACAGCCCTCTGCTAAGGTAGAGTGTGATAGAAGGGCAGATTGCGCAGTTGTATCTAGAATTTCACTTTGCAAGACCATCAGAATATTTTTAAAGTTAAATAGTTCATTTATCCTTGGCTTCTGAACAGCTCCATATAGGAAGCAAACTGTCAACAGTGACTTCTGAGCATTTCAGGTCAACTGATGGTAATAGATGGAAGCATTTAAACATGCTGTAATGTATCTTAGAACAGGGATCTTCACAGAAGCAATCTTCTACTAGCATTTAGGCGTGAAACTGATTGGAACAAAAGCTGCCCAAAATTGCATCAGATGAGCAAACAGAATCCCCACCTTCCTCACTTTTTACCTTCCAAGGAAGGTGGGGATTCTGTTGGCTTATCTGGCACAATTTCAGAAATCCTTCTGGTGCCACTGATACAGAAGTTTAGGTCAGAAGAGAGCGGAAAGAAAATATCAGGGATGTTGTCAAATCTTTGGGTCCGAATCCCAAGTCCGGGTCCAAATCTTTGATACCAAGTCTCAGGCCCTTTGGTACCAAGTCCTGAGGCCCAAGCCCAGGTCCAAGTTCCTATTTTAAAAAAGTTTTCCCCCCAGAAAAAAAAGGGAGGAGTGGGTGGTCTCTGAGTTGAGAGTCACTGGAAAAAAACAATAAGCTCAGCCGAGTTGCCAGTGCAACTGAGGTCTGACTTGACAGCTTGTTCCACAACTCGAGTCCCCAACCCTGGAAAACATTAAAACTTAGTACTTGGCCCTTTCTGCAGAGGCTAGTTGACCATAAGTGAGCCTGAAACCCACACACTACTTCTCCTAGCCTCAAGTCCTTTGGTACCAAGTCCTGAGGCCCAAGCCCAGGTCCAAGTTCCTATTTTAAAAAAGTTTTCCCCCCAGAAAAAAAAGGGAGGAGTGGGTGGTCTCTGAGTTGAGAGTCACTGGAAAAAAACAATAAGCTCAGCCGAGTTGCCAGTGCAACTGAGGTCTGACTTGACAGCTTGTTCCACAACTCGAGTCCCCAACCCTGGAAAACATTAAAACTTAGTACTTGGCCCTTTCTGCAGAGGCTAGTTGACCATAAGTGAGCCTGAAACCCACACACTACTTCTCCTAGCTATGTAACGTAAACAGCAAGATATTTGCAGTTCTTGTTCCATGCACTTGTGAATACAGCCCAGGAAGTATATAAGTACATGTATAATAAGTGGTTTTGCACTTCCCAAATGGATCCAGAGCCTCCTTAGGCAAGTATTGTAGCATACAGAAGCAGATTACTCACAAACATGCTGGACTTTGGCGAAGGGTAGCAGAATTTCTATCCAAAAAGTTGGGTATGTAAAACACATATATGCAAGTCTCATAAAGAGTATGGTACAATTTCCTGTATTGCTAACAGATAATTAGAATTAGATGTTCTGAATTCTATAAGGTAGCATATCAAAATAAATGATATATTATGAACCAGTATTAAGATTTTAAATTAACCTATTTAGAAAGACTCGTGATAAATGACCAGTAGTGACTAATCAAAATTTAGGAATCAAAGAAAATGTTTTAATCATAACATTTCAAACAGAATAGGTTCATTGTTGCTCAGTATCCATCTAGCTGTATATATTACAGTCAATGATGAAATGAAAGAAACATAAATTCACCTGAAACCAAGCGCAATATGATCAAAATGCAAATTCATATGATGGAATCAGAGACTTGTCCGCTTCTGGAATTTCAATAGACTTTTCTAGCACTACTGTCTTAAATGGGAACACCACTGACAACATATTTGTTCTGAATACTAGATGAAAGCCTAGCTACATCTAGATGGACACACTATCAAAATGAAGAGCAAGCCAACATTTATCAGACACATGAAAAACTTAGCTAAAACTTTTCTTCAAGGGAATTATCTTTTAAGAAAACACACTGGTATTCTATGATACGATGACTTATCACAGGTTAACTGACAGACGCTTATGTGCTTTATATGATTTATAGAGTAGCATGTTCTGAACTGCTTGGATGCTGTATATTTTTATTGAGCTTTTCAAAATTTATAAAGCATGTGTGGGTTATAAAATTATGTTCCCACGGTAATGCTCAATGTTTTTATCTGAAATCCCAAAGTGATCATGCAGTTGTTGTTTTATAAGCAATGAAAAGCTTCCACACAGGTGTGGAACCGAACAGTGTTTCTGGTTCCATAAGAATTACTTCTCTGCAGAATAAGTATAGAGTTTCAAACATTTTGGGGTTATACCATTTGTAATCTCTCAGGCTGGCATTTTTCTTTGTTTCTTCCCACACTTATATGTTACTTCATGCATCCAGATATTCATTGTCAAATTTGAAAGTAACCACACGTGTCCACTTAAAGTGAGGTAGCTATTATGGGAGCTGTTGTTATTATTGTTATTGTTATTATTCAAAAACAGCATGCACAGTCAAAATTATGAAAACATTGACTGGTATTATATAACAGAAACCTAACTGTCTGTTAAATATCAGCACAGTGGACAGTGGCTGGACAGTGTCTGCGAAGCAACCAACATGAAATTGACACAACTACGGGAGGCAGTGGAAGACAGGAGGGCCTGGCGTGCTCTGGTCCATGGGGTCACGAAGAGTCGGACACAACTAAATGACGATGATATATGCTGTCATTACTACTACTACTACTACTACTACTACTACTACTAGATATGGGGGTATTTGTATTCGTAGACGAATATGAATATCCTCCCGCAGGTGAAAATAACGAGGATCCACTCACGCAGGTGCAGCAGCACCTTCCTATCGCGCTGTTGTCCGCAATAAATTACCCATTCTGCTACCTGGCAGAAAGGCTTGTCATCCCACCTCCAGCCAGGAATGGCTAATCCACTGCAGAGCATGGCATGATACGAAGGTGCTGCTGCACCCGCAACAGCAGCCAAACGGTGAGTGGACGGTCCGGCCCCATGAGGCTGGACCTTTATTATTTCCACCTGCGGGTGATATTCATATTTGTCTACGAATACCCCCACCTCTAATCATCATCATCATCATCCTGATCTTGCTTTGAGCAAGGAATTTTTTAAATTGTCAGAATGTTCAATGACATGAAAAGACGCTGGACCCAGATTTGTCCACAACAAATCAGGCGCATCACAATCAATACAAAAAATTATAACTTCTAGACCCCCTTCAGCAGATGCTAGAAACATGCCATCCTGTTTACTCTTTTCACATAGGTAGCACATATCAGACTTAAGAAACTACACATGATTTCTTTGACAATTGTAGGTAAAACCTCTGCATTTTACCAAATTTCCACTTTTTAAATAATTCTATAGTTTGTGATGGTTCTGTAGTAAGACTGTACACTGATAGTCCCCAAGCTTTTTGACATAATCGAACCTCTTTTTGAATTATAGTTTAAAATTAAAAGCAAGCGCAAAAGCATAGTAAAAATTATTTCAAATTAATTTTGTGGAATGAAATCTAAAAATTAAAAATAGTTTAAGCTGATAACAATATATTGCCAATATGAAAATTTCAATTTCTCATGAATTCCTTTGAGTTTTGAGCACGTCCCCCAGTTTGAAAGCCAGTGTTTCACTAATGGACAGATTGCTCTGTGAAAGTTATGCCTGTTCTAAATATTTACCCATCTTTTGAGACTCTTTGTGAAATTATGCTGTATATTAAAAAAAGACTTACCATCATCATTCTGGGCCAAACAATCCATGAGGACAACAGAAGCTGCAATCCCTATCGCTAACCATTTTGAGAAGCAAAGCTGCTGTAACATTTTATGTCACACTTCAATCAAGGTAAATCTGGAAAGAGAACAGAAAGAAAAATATTCATTTAAAAAAGAAATAGTTTACAAAAGATTGGCCTGAAAATATACCACCACTGCAGAATTCATTGATTGTCTTGTGTTATGAGTTCATAATAACACACATTCCTTCTGTTATAGCACAAATAGTTGAATATTTGTTTTTCAATTCAAAAGCTGATTCTATTTCAGAGAAGTTCTTGGGGGCCTATTCTAATCAGGGAGGGTGATCAAAGCATGAGTCAAAAATATAAGCATATTTTAGTTTAAAACCTTTACTGCTACTAACAAAATATATGAGAGACATTTCAGCCCATAAATCTGGTCTGACTCTGCACTGTGGAGGAAAAGAAGGGATATGTGAATGTGTGTATTGTGTGTGCTAACAACTGGAGGGTTCTTAGTTCAAATCTCCCCAGAACTGCAGACTAATCAGGATGCTTTCCAATCAGTTTTTTTCTGCCAGAGATACCACAGTTGTAGAACTAACACATGGAAAACACATATTCCTGTTAGCCGCTCAGAGTGGTATAGATTTACCAGATGAGTGGGATATAAATCAAATAAATAAATATATAAAATAAATAAATAGAAAACCCTTTAAACTGTGATATCTACAGGAATGAGACATGATGTTTGCCCTTTTTCTCTATCTTGTTTATTAATTATTTTATTCCTTCCTTCCTTCCTTCCTTCATTCATTCATTTATTTATTTAGCGTATTTATTTATTTATTTATTTATTTATTAATTGCATTTATATGCCGCCCATCTAGACATAGTCTACTCTATAACAATTATCATTATTATAACTTAATTGTTACTTGCCACAGAATTCTGTTCAATAAATTTCCTGACTAATCTTGATCTAGTCTAGTGTTGTGCTCACACAGATGTATCCTTCTGTTATGGCTACACTAGCTTCTCTAGCTTTGTGTGTAGCCACCCAAAAGACAGCCACTCAAAAACCCCTGCACCGAGTCTGGGTTTGCCATTTGAACTTGTGAACAGGGACTGCTTCTCCTGGATCATTCCTATCAGCTCAGGAAAACAGCCAATGTTCCCTTCCACAATGCTGATATAATAAGCTTCATTTGGCTCAATTCTGTTCAGCATTCTGTTCAATAATGACACAGAAATGTAGGCTCATAAGAAAAACAAACTCAGAGTATTATTTATAACAGTACAGCGTTATAAGGTTAAAATAAAGTTAATCTTATAAACCTCTTAAACTAGCAGATTAACTCACTGTCACTGTTTCATTGTTACGGTTTTGTATTATGGTCAAAGAAACAACATATTTTTCAGCAAATAAGATGCCCGTCTTTCCTCAGCAGCTAACATCAAAACAATCTGTTCTGCATTTATTTTGAAATTATTAAAGTTATTGCTATCACTTTATTTCCAGAAGTGAACCTTTTTCTTATCTGTGTATATAATCTTTTCTGCTTATTTACATCACAAACAATAGTATCATGTCAAGACTTCAAAGTTCTTCCTTGGATCTTTCACTAATTCTTTATAGTTAATGCAGTCAAGAGAAAATGTGATCTTTTTTAGTGGTAGGATAGATGATATTTCATTGAAAAGTAGGACCAAATAAGCACATAATTAAAATTAGGCAAATTCTTCCTTATTTCACCATTTATGATTTATACGGTTAAAAACACACACAATCACTTCCATTTGCTTTATATTTTGAGCAAATTAACCAAATAGACATATGATATATTTTACAAAAAAAATATGGTTTAGTCAAAGGAAAAGATAGAATTTTATTGAAACAGACATATGGAAATAAACAAACAAACAACAACCAAAGGCTGATTAAGGAAACCAAAGCCAGGACCTGTTTATATTAGTAAAAGAACCAAAGTTTGAATCGTGTTCAGCTATAATTCCACTGATTTTTTTTTAATGATCGCATAATGCATAGTGGATCTCGTGTTCCCCCCCCCAAGACTCACATTATTCTATTCAGAAGTGTGCCATTTAAGCCACTCCTGGCGGGGTTGTTTATTTTAGCTTGGTGTCTAATGCCTCAAAGTGCCCAATGTGCCTTCCTCACCCACCATAAATTGATGGCCTTTGCCATCATGATTGCTTTCATCCCTTTCCCCTCACTCGCTCCCCTCCTCCCATCCCCTCCACGCCTTCACTTGCCTCCCAGCCCCCTTGCTCCCTTCTCCCTGCTTGATCTCCCCTGCCAGCAGGTTTGTTTGCATCCCAGCCCCCTTGCTCGCCCTCCCTGCTCAAACATTTTCCCAATTTTGGAGCAGATCCAAATCATGGGGATTCAGGAGGATCCATGCTTGGCTTAGTGTTTCTTCGCCACTGCAAAGCCAGGTACCCCTCATTTCTGTGATGTACAGTGGGGTCTTGACTTGAGAACTTAATCCGTATTGGAAGGCGGTTCTCAAGTCAAAAAGTCAAGTCTCCATCGACCTACAGTGCATTGAAAACCGATTAATCCCGTAACAGGCCGTTTTTGTTCCATTTTGGTTTTTTTCTGGTCTGTAAGTCAAATCTCAGTCTGCAAGTCAAACCTAAATTTTGCAGCCAGAGAAGTCTGTAACTCAAAAAGTCTGTAAGTCAAGCCGTCTATAAGTCAAGGGTCCACTGTACTCTATGGGTACAAATGGACACATCTGGAGCATTCATAAAGGGACAGAAGCAGTCAAGCTTTCTAAAGGGGCAACCAGCTTTGCCCTGTCTCTCTCTCTCTCTCTCCCTTCCTCACCTCCCCACAGCAGCAGGGGCAAACGGCCAGTGTGAGGGAAGAGCAGGCAAGCCTCAAATGAAATGATTTTAAAAGCCAGTATAGGTCCTGCAACTGAGATACAACACAACTTTAAAACATATTAAAAGTTTTCCCAAGAGGATGCACACTTTGCAGTGTCAAAATGCAACACCCTAACCACTATATCAAGGAGACACATACTGAAACTATAGTTAAGTTCCAAGCAGACAGTGATTCACATACCATGTGACTGTCACATGACTTTCAAGAACATCCTATGCATATAATGGGGTTCATCCATAACGTAGATAAGCCCTCAGTTTACCATACTGAAGCTATAGTTAAGTTCCAAATATCATCTTTGGCAGGTTGTCAAACAAAAATTGGGAGTGTTTCACAAATCATATTCTCCTTGATACTGGTCACATGCTACCTAGATCTATTAGTACAAAATGTATCAACTATTCTATTTAACTGTACTGCAATTTAAAGTATGCCTGCAAATCAATATATGTAGTACCCGGTGTGCTATAGAGCATTGGTCCCCAACCTTGGGCCTCCAGAGGTTCTTGGACTACAACTCCCAGAAGCCTTCACCACCACCTCTGCTGGCCAGGATTTCTGGGAGCTGAAGTCCAAGAACATCTGGAGGCCCAAGGTTGGGGACCACTGCTACAGAGGACAAAGTGATGGACTATAATCCTGGCAATGAGGGTCTGAATCTCCACTTGGCCATGGAAATTCACTGGGGGAATCAAATTGACACCTCATTATTATTATTATTATTATTAAATACATAAATAGACATCTATATGCTATATGTGTGACAGGAAGCAACAGTTAGAACTGGATATGGAAAATCTGATTGGTTCAAAATTGGGAAAAGAGTACAGCAAGGCTGTATATTGTTCCCCAACTTATTTAACTTGTATGCAGAATACATCATGTGAAAGGCCAGACTGGAGGAATCCTAAACCGGAATTAAGATTACTGGAAGAAATATCAACAACCTCCGATATGCAGATGATACCACTCTGATGGCAGAAAGGGAGGAGGAATTAAAGAACCTTGTAATGAGGGTGAAAGAGGAGAGTGCAAAAAATGGCCTGAAGCTCAACATCAAAAACTTTTGAATTATGGTGCTGGAGGAGGCTCTTGAGAGTCCCCTGGACTGCAAGGAGAACAAACCTATCCATTCTGAAGGAAATCAACCCTGAATGCTCACTGGAAGGACAGATCCTGAAGCTGAGGCTCCAATACTTTGACCATCTGATGAGAAGAGAAGACTCCCTCTAAAAGACCCTGATGTTGGGAAAGTGTGAAGGCAGGAGGAGAAGGGGACGACAGAGGATGAGATGGTTGGACTGTGTCATTGAAGCTGCCAGCATGAATTTGACCAAATTCCAGGAGGCAGTGGAGGACAGGAGGGCCTGGCATGCTTTGGTCTTCCTGTGCCTTTTGTGCACCAGTTCCTTCATTAAAAATTAAAGGGACTGCCTTTCTTAAGATTTTCCATCTTGTTTTTCCATCTTGTTTTTCCCCATTCATGCTCTCCTTGGCACTCATCGAAAAGTCCAAAGAACTTTTTAAAAAAGCAAAGTGTGCTGCTTATATACTGCCCCATAGTGCTTCAAGCGCTCTCTGGAGAGTTTACAAGTTAATTACGCAGGCTACACCTTGCCCTCCCCCCACGCGCTGGGTACTCATTTTACCAACCTTGGAAGGATAGAAGGCTGAGTTAACCTTGAGTCAGCTACCTGGGGTTGATCATGAACACAGTTTTGGCTGCAGTACAGCCGTTTAACCACTGTACCTCAAGGCTCCTTTTAAAAAGCAGGGTAAGGCAAGCAACAGAGAGCCAAATTCCAAAAAGCCTAAGGAAGTCTTTAAAAACAAACAAAAAAGCAGAGAGGTAACAGGAAATGAATCTAAAACTCTATAGAACCCTAAAGAACTACTCCAAAAAAACCACAGTCAAGACTACAGATCTACTTCAAAAACAGAAACTACACAAGAAAAAAAAATAATCAAAGTCCCAGTCAAAATATACACCTTTAACTAATAAACACACAATAAATTAACCATTTAATGGGACGTGGTGGCGCTGTGGGCTAAACCGCAGAAGCCTGTGCTGCAGGGTCAGAAGATCCGGCAGTTGTAAGATCGAATCCACGCAACGGAATGAGCACCCGTCGCTTGTCCCAGCTCCCGCCAACCTAGCGATTCGAAAGCATGCAAATGCGAGTAGATAAATAGGGA